AAAAAGCGCCGGTTTTGCCCCAAAACCCCTCTTTTTTACCCCAAAACCGCTGCCTTTTCCTCCCTAAAACGCCGTTTCAAGGTATTCTTCCCCCAAAATGTCAGTTTCTGGCACGGTTCGCCAATTTTCAGCCCTCAAAGGGGCGGTAATGCCCCAAAATGGCGGGGTTTAGCCCCAAAACGGGAGTTTTCCCACACGGGCGGTGCTTTAAAATCCCAAAGTGCGCTGGTTTTGCCCCAAAACCGCATCAATCCGCCCTTTCGCTTCATTTCCTACTCCTTTTTTTTCCTTAACGAAGCCGTTTTCCGCCCTTTCCAAAGGGATTTTGACCAAAATCAGGCGTTTTCGGCGTTAAAATGAGGGTTTATACCCCCAAAATGAAGTTTTGCCCCCAAAACCTGGGCGTGGCGCCCACAGCAACCAAAAAAGGGGGTTTTCTACCCAAACCCAAGTAGATCTAAGCCAAAAATGAAGCTTTGCATCCCCAAATAGGGGCGTGCCGGCCCTCAGGGGGCTCTTTTAGCTCCAATATGGGCTTTTTTCGCCCCAAAACCGCGATTCTTTTGTCCCAAAATGGCGATTTTCTTGAACAGCCTTAAAATACGGGGTGGGTTGGTAACAGATGGAAGCTTTTTAGCCCCTAAATCGAGGGTTTTAGCCTTAAAATGAGAGTTTTCAGTGCCCAATAGAGGCTTTGCAACTACGGAGGAAGCTTTGTTCTCTATGAGGAGATGTTGAGCCCTAAAATCCGCATTTTTGCCCCCAAAAAGGAGATTCTGTCCTTGAAATGAAGCTTTTTTTTGCCCAAAATTATGGGTTTAAGCCCCAAAATGGGGGTTTTTTAGCGCTAAAAGAAGTCTTTTTGCCCCCCAAAGCGTCAAAATGGAGCTTTTCCCCCCGCCCAGGAAGAGCTTTGTTCTCTGGATCTTCCCATCCCCCAAAAAGGGCATTTTTTGCCCCAAAAGGGCCTTTTGAGCAGCAAACCGCAGCTTTTCGGCCCCAAAATGGGTTTATTTCAGCCCCAAAAGGGGGTTTTCCTGCTAAAAGCCGGGCGATCCCACCCCAAAATGGAGGAATCCGGCCCCAAAATGGAGGGCTGCGGCTGAAGAATCGCATCTTTGTGCTCCCAGAAGCAGCTTTTCTGCCCCAAATTTAGCCGTTTTGCTCCAAAATTAACACTTTTTTACTGTTAAACTTGTTTTTTGATGCAAAATGATGCTTTGAGCCCCAAAACTAGTGATTTGGGCCCCGAAACGGGCTCTTTTCCACGCCGGAATGGTTTTAGTGCTGCTTCACAGTGGGGGTTTTCCCCATTTAATGTAGTTTTTAGCCCCAAAACGGGTGGTTTTTGACTCAAAATGAACCTTTCCCTTCGAAAGTGATGGGGTTTGACCTAAAATCCACGTTTTCAGCCCCAAAACAGCACCTTTGTGTCTCCAAAGCAGCTTTGCCACCCCCCCAATGGAGGCTTTCGGCCGCAGAACACGATCTTTGTTCCACAAAACGTCTCAAATGAGCGCTTTGGACCCCAAATTTCTGCCCAGAAATGGGGTTTCCAACCCCCAAAAAAGTCATTTTTAGCCCCAAAATCTCTTCTTCCAACCCCAGAATTCCTGTTTTTTCCTGTTTTCAGCTCAGAAAGGAAACCTTTTTGTTCTCAAACTGCATTTTATAGCCTTAAAACGGCATTTTCCCCACAAAAATTAGTTTTTTTTCTTACCCAAATAGACTTTTTTGTCCCAATGTGACCATTTGAGTCACAAAATTCCCCTTTTCCACCCCAAAACACCGTTTTCAACCAAAAAGAACCACTTTAACCTTCCTCAACCCCCGTAAACACACATTTTCAGTCTCCAAAACGATGCTTTTTAACCCAAATCGCCTTTTTAAACCCATTTCTTCACCGTCAGCCCCAAAATTGGGGGGTTTGGACCCATTTTCACCTTTAGGGCGTGGCTCTGCCCCCCCCCCCCCATGACCTTGAATGGGGGGGTTGGGGTTCCACTGCCTCCCAAGGGGCACATTTTGGGGCCAAACCCCTCAATTTTGGCACTTTCCCGTTCACGAGGGGTGGATTTGGGGACAGAAAAGGGTAAAATTGGGCTAAAAAGTGGCTTTTTTGGGGGTGCCGCCATTCAAACCCTGCTTCCGCTTCCCGCCCGCCCGTTACTTTGGCCAAGCCCTCCCTGCATCCACCGAGGCCACGCCCCCTCGGAGGGCTCCGCCCCCCCAATTGGTCGGCCTTTTTGTCACGCCCACGCGACCAAGCCACGCCCCTTTTCTACTCTCCCACCCCTTCGTCTGGCTCCTCCAATCAGCTTCCACAGCTCGACCCCTCCCAGCCAATGGGGCTTCTCCTACCCGTTAAACTCCACCCCCTTTTAAATCACAGCCCTCTCCATTCATCCCCAGCCCCTATGGGAGCAAGGCGAGGGGCGGAACCTTCTTGGTTCCTCTCCTCTCATTGGAGGGGAAAGGAAAGGGGGCGGGGCCTCATTGACACCCCCTTCCCCTTTCTTTCCCCCTCCCCAATCAGTTTTGGGAGGTGATCAGCGATGAACACGGCATCGACCCCACCGGCACCTACCATGGAGACAGTGACCTCCAGCTTGACCGCATCAGTGTCTACTACAATGAGGCCACCGGTAGGATGACCCCATCACCACCATGTCCCCATCACCACCACGTCCCCATCACCACCATGTCCCCACCATCATATCCCCATCACCACCATGATCTCATCACCACCGTGACCCCATTGTCACCATGTCCCCACCACCGCTGTGTCCCCACCATATCTCCACCACCACATCCCCATTACCATCACATCCCCATCATGGTGTCCCCATCACCACCACGTCCCCATTACCGTGTCCCCATCACCACCGTGTCCCCCTTACCACCACATCCCCATCACCGTGTCTCCACCATCATATCCCCATCACCACCATGTTCCCACCATCATGTCCCCATCACTGTGTCCCCATCACCACCGTGTCCCCACTATCATATCCCCATCACCACCATATCCCCATCACCATGTCCCCACCATCATATGCCCATCACCACCCCATCCCCACCCCACCTTGGTGACACGGTGCTGTCCCCAGGGGGGAAGTATGTGCCGAGGGCCATCATGGTGGACCTGGAGCCTGGGACTATGGACTCGGTGCGCTCAGGACCCTTTGGACAGATCTTTAGGCCGGACAACTTTGTTTTTGGTGAGTCCCCACCTTGGCCATTGCCTTCATTGGGTGGCCGTCGCCATGGGGTTGGGTGGTGGGCCCCCACTGCAGTGGTTCCTCATTCACACATCCCTCCTTAATGCCCTTCAAGTGCTTGGCACAACGGGGCAGGAGGTCCCTGTTGTCCCCTTCTTGGTGGCCATGGTCTCTTGTGGTGCCCCCCAGTTGGGTTTTGGGGTCCCCGTAGGAGTTGTGGGGCCCCACATTAGGTTAATGAGGCTTGCGTAGGACGTGGGTGCCCCTGAGGTACCCAAGGGGGGTCCTCAAGGCGGTTGATGGAGACCCCAAGGATGGGCTCAGGGTCTCTATAGAGGGGGTCAAGGTTGGCTTTGAAGGCCCCCAGCAATGGGATGGGGGCTCCCAAGGTCCTCAAATGGGGCTGGGGGTGTTGGGAGGAGGATGATGGTGACCCCCCCATGTGTGTCGTTCCCCCCCCCCCCCAAGGTCAGAGCGGTGCCGGCAACAACTGGGCCAAAGGCCACTACACGGAAGGGGCCGAGCTGGTGGATTCGGTGCTGGACGTGGTGCGGAAGGAAGCGGAGAGCTGCGATTGCCTCCAGGGCTTCCAACTGACCCATTCCTTGGGGGGGGGCACGGGCTCCGGCATGGGCACCCTCTTGATCTCCAAGATCCGCGAGGAATATCCCGACCGCATCATGAACACCTTCAGCGTGGTGCCCTCGCCCAAGGTGTCCGACACGGTGGTGGAGCCCTACAACGCCACCTTGTCGGTGCATCAGCTGGTGGAGAACACGGATGAGACCTACTGCATCGACAACGAAGCCCTCTACGACATCTGCTTCCGCACCCTCAAGTTGACCACGCCGACCTACGGCGACCTCAACCACCTCGTCTCGGCCACCATGAGCGGGGTCACCACTTGCTTACGCTTCCCCGGGCAGCTCAACGCCGACCTCCGCAAGTTGGCCGTCAACATGGTGCCGTTCCCTCGGCTCCACTTCTTCATGCCGGGCTTCGCTCCGTTGACGTCCCGAGGGAGCCAACAGTACCGGGCCTTGACGGTCCCGGAGCTCACCCAACAGGTCTTCGACGCCAAGAACATGATGGCCGCGTGCGACCCGCGCCACGGGCGGTACTTGACGGTGGCGGCCGTGTTCCGGGGCCGCATGTCCATGAAGGAGGTGGACGAGCAGATGTTGAACGTGCAGAACAAGAACAGCTCCTACTTCGTGGAGTGGATCCCCAACAACGTGAAGACGGCCGTGTGCGACATCCCCCCCCGCGGCCTCAAGATGGCCGTCACCTTCATCGGCAACAGCACGGCCATCCAAGAGCTCTTCAAGAGGATCTCGGAGCAGTTCACGGCCATGTTCCGCCGCAAAGCCTTCCTCCATTGGTACACGGGCGAGGGCATGGACGAGATGGAGTTCACCGAGGCCGAGAGCAACATGAACGACCTGGTCTCCGAGTACCAACAGTACCAAGACGCCACCGCCGAGGAAGAGGAGGACTTCGGCGAAGAGGCCGAAGAAGAAGCTTGAAGGGATGGAGGTGGCTTGGCCATGGATGGAGAAACCCCCCCCCCTCCCCTCCCAATGTCCTTGGAGAGCCTTCATCATCCTCTTGTCCTCCATCGTCATCCTCAGAGCCCCCCTACCCCGGCCTTGGTGGCATCGGTGTCGTGTCGTCCCCCCCTGCGCTGCACTGGTGTCACCGGGGAGCGTTTGGTCTTTGTTGTGCGTCCCCCACTCATCCTGCTCTTTGGAATGGTCCTGGTCTTCATCTTGCTCCTCCTCCTCCTCCTCGGGGAGCTGGGGTCCGGCAGGAGAAAGCTCTTCGATATTGGAGAGGCTTTGTCCTTCATCGTGGTCAATGGAGAGTCCTTGTCCGTCATGGTCAATGGAGAGCCCTTGTTCTTCATCATGGTCAATGGAGAGCCTTCATGTTTTATCATGGTCAATGAAGAGTCCTCGTCCATCATCATTGCCACTGGAGAGTCCTTGTCCTTCATGCTGGTCACCAGAGATACCCAACTCTTCCTCATGGTCAATGAAGAGCCCTTGTCCATTATGGTCAATGGAGAGCCCTTGTCCTTCATCGTGGTCACCAAAGAGCCTTCATCATCATCAAGGAAGAGCCGTCATCCTTCATGGTCAATGAAGAGCCTTCCTCCTTCATCACGGTCAATGAAGAGCCCTTGTCCATCATGGTAAATGAAGAGTCCTTGTCCTTTATCGTGGTCACCAGAGATACCCAGCTCTTCATCACGGTCGCCAAAGAGCCTTCATCATCATCAAGGAAGAGCCCTTGTCCTTCATCATGGTCAATGGAAGAACCCTTGTCCATCATGGTCCTCAAAGAGCCTTCATCATCGTCAAGGAGCAGCCCTTGTCCATCATGGTCAATGGAAGAGCCCTCATCCTTCACCACGGTCAATGGAAGAACCCTTGTCCACCACCATCATCATCACCACCACAGAGTCCCAGCACCCTCATGGGCACTGAGGAGCCTCCACTTGATCCCCATCACCAGAGGCCACCACGTCCCCACCGTCGGGGGGGTGACACCACTAAATTATTGCCACTCCCCATCCCAAAATGGGCTCTCCCATCCCCCCCTGTGTCCCCTCCCCCTCATTTTGGGCCATTTTTCCCCTTTTCAACCTTTTTCCCCTCTTTTTCTTTTTGGTTGGGTTTTTTTTTTCATATTGAAAAGCCGCCCCCGGGGCCAGGAATAAACCCGGGATGGAAAATTCCCCCCCCCCGCCTTATGTCCTTGGTCCTCTCTTCCCTGCCCCATGGGACTTGGGGGTCACCACCTTCCCCCCAGTGGCCCTTGAGTGGGGGCCCCAAAGGCATCAGGAAGGAGCCAGGCCGGCCTGGAGTGGATGCAGCAGCTTTAATGATGGGGGGACGTGGGGACACATCCCCCCCCCCCCCCCCCCCCCCCCCTTGGGGACAAGCCAGGCCCTGGGGTGGTGGCACCATGGGGGCTTGGGGTTGGTGGTCCCATGGGGACAAGGCTTCAAGGGGTTGGTGGCACCAAAAGTGCCATGGGACAATGGGTTCCAGGGGGTTGTAGGCACTATGGGGACAATGGGATCAGGGGTGGTGGCACCAGGGGGAATTTGGTTCTAGGTTGGTGGCCCCATGGGGACAATAGGCTCCAGGGGGTTGAAGTCACTGTGGAGACATGGGCTTGGGGTTGATGGCTCCATGGGGACAATGGGCTCCAGCGGGGCTGTAGGCACTATGGGGACATGGGGTTGGTGGCCCCATGGAGACAATGGGCTCCAAGGAGTTGGTGCCTCACCCCTGGCACTCGCTCTTCTTCTGGGTACCCTGTAGGGACCGAAAGGACCCTGAGGAGGTGACCCCAGCCCCGGGTGCCCCCCCCCGACCCCCCCATTGTCCCCAAGGGCAGACCTGGGTGATGCTGACACCGCTCAAGGCCTCGATGGCGCTGGGCAGGCGCGTGACCACGTCCAGGACCTCCCCCGGCAGCCGCGAGACCCCCAGGGCCCCGGAGGCGCCGGCCACCAGCGTCACCCGGCGCGTCCCCAGCAGGGGCTGTGCCACCGCCTCGGCCGCCTGCGCCCGAAATAGGCCACAATCAGCCCAGAATGGGGGCACGGGGCCCAAAATAGCCCTAAATCCCCCCCAAAACTGAGCTCGGCACCCATAATACCCCCAAATCACCCCAAAATGGGACTGAAGCACCCAGAGTACCCCAAGTTTACCCCCAAAACAGCTCGGCACCCAAAATACCCTTAACTCACCCCAAAATGGGAACACAGCACCCCAAAATCACCCCAAAATGGGAGCTCAGCACCAAAAATGCCCCCAATTCCCCCCCAAAACTGAGCTCAGCACCCAAAATACCCTAAAATCACCCCAAAATGGGAACACAGCACCCCAAAATGGGAGCTCAGTACTCAAAATACCCCTAATTCACCCTCAAAACTGAGCTCGGCACCCAAAACGACCCCAAATCACCCCCAAATGGGAGCACACCACCCAAAACACCCCCAATTCACCCCAAACCAGGAGCACAGCACCCAAGTACACACACCCCCCCCCCCCCATAGCCCCTATGTTCCACCTACCTCCATAGAGGGAACCCCAGCATCCTCCCTTGTACCAAATCCCCCTGGAATTCCCCCCCCCCCCCCCCATTCCATACCAGGGACCCCACATCCATGGGGGGGGACGGACCCCAAAATACCCCATGGGCCCCCCCCCATACCTGGGGCAGGCGCTGCAGCACCATCTCCACCACGGCCGCCTCCTGGTACTGCCCGAAGGCTTCAGCCTTGGCCGCTGCTTGCGCTGCTTCTGCCCTGGCCCGGGCGGCCACGGCCGCTGCTTTGGCTGCGCCTGTCACCTGCAGGGGACCCCCGAGCCCCCCCACATTGGGGTTGGGGGGCTCTGACCCACACTTGTGGGGCAGAGCCCCATAAGTGGATGTGGGACCCCCCCCACAACTCACCCTCATGGCTTCAGCCTCTGCTTCTGCCTGCAGGATCACCTGGGACCTGGGGGCGGAGCGAAAGAGGGGGGCGTGGCTTAATGGGAGACGGCAGAACGGGCGTGGCTTGTGGTGGGAGGGGCTTGACTGGGTGTGGTTCGGGGGCGTGGCTTGGTGAAGCTCTCTTAAAGGGGCAATGGCATTAATTTAGGCCAATGAGGCTTGGTATAATAGGATGAAGCTCCCTCTTAAAGGGGCAACGACATCAGATTAGGCAGTGGGTCCCACCAATGAGGCTCGGTAGAATGGGACTGGGCTCCCTCTTAAAAGGGCAACAGCATCAAGTTAGGCAGTGGGTCTCACCAATTCAGGGGTGTGGCTTGGCAGACTGGGACGGGGCTCCCTCTTAAAGGGGCAATGGCATGAAATCAGTGTGTCCCACCTGTAAGCTGTCTTACAGGTACAATAGCATCAATTTAGGCAGCAGGTCCCACCAATGAGGCTTGGTAGAATGGGGCGGGGCTCCCTCTTAAAGGGGCAATGGCTTGGGAGATTGGGTTGGGGCTCTCCCTTAAAGGGGCCACGTCCTCACCGCTGTGCCTCGGCCAGGCGCTCCAGCCGGTACCGCTCAGCCTCGGCCGGTTTGCGGACCGTGGCCTCCAGCTCCAGCTCCCGGCGCCCTATCTCGTGCTCCTGCAGCTGCGCCCGCTGCGCCCGCTCCACCACCAGCACCTGCGCCCGCTGCTCCTCGATCTGCTGCTTCGTCCTCGCCACCTACACACACACCCGCACCCCCCCCCAAAAAGGGACCCACAATGGGTGGGGGGCACCCCAATGTTAAAGGGAGAAGCCACCATTGGGGTGGCTTAGGGAGACCACGATGCTTGGTGGGGGGCAAAACATACTGGGAGATGCAGCTCTTGGACGGGGGGTGTGTGGGGGGGGACCAAGGGATGTGGGGACACACACGCACACACACACAGAGGGCTATGGGGCACCATGGAAGTGGGGTGAGGGGGGTACCTGCAGCTCATAGGCCAGGTCAGCCGTGGCCTTGCGGGCGCTGACGGCAGCGTCGCACTGAGCCTGCTGCAGCTCGAAGTCCCGCTGGGCACGGGCCATGGCCGCCTCGCTGAGCAGCTGCGCCGAGACCTGCTCCTGCCGGGCACGGGCTTCCTATGGGGAGGGGGGGACACCGAGGGACATCGTGGGCACGGGGACATTGAAGGGGTTGGGGGGGGGACGTCAATGGGGTGCAGGGCTCACGCGGATCCCGGCGTCCCTCTTGGCCTCGGCCTCTCCGACGCGGGCATCGCGCTGCACTTGTGCCGTGCGGCCCTTGCCCAAGGAGTGCAGGTAGTCCTGGGAACAAGGGGACAAGGTCACCCCCCATGGTCCCACCAGCCATAGGGGATAGCGGAGATGGCCCTGGGCTTGCGTGGTGTCCCCAAGGTCATTGACCTCATCTATTGTCCCCATCCCCATACCCTCATCCCATGGCCACTGTCCACATCCCTGTCGCTTGGCCACTGCCCCCATCCACATATCCCCATCCCCATACCCCCATCCCATCCCCATGTCCCCATCCCCATATCTCTATCCCTTAGCCACTGTCCCCATCCCCATATCCCCATCCCTTGGTCCCTGTCCCCATCCCTGCCTTTCCCCACCATGTCCCCAACTCCACCTGGTCATCATGGATGTCCTTGAGGGTGTAGCTGACCACGCTGATGCCCATATTGACCAGGTCAGATGAGGCCACGTTGAAAACCTGCTCCGAGAACTTCTGCCGGTCCTTATAGATCTCCTATGGAAGGGGCGGAGCTTAGCGATGCACTGGGCGGGGCTTCAAGGATAAGGAGCCAATTGGAGCAAGGCTTGCATTGGGGCTTAGGGATGAATGGGGCTTTAAAGGGGGCTGTGTCCCCCCCCTTACCTCCACGGTCATGTGGGCCATGATGGCGCGCTGGTGGCCCTCCAGAGTTTCCAGGGCGATCTGGGCGATCTCGGCCTCCGACTTGCCCAGGAACATCTGGCAAGCGGCCGCCAGCATCTCCTTGTTCTGCCCCTGGATCTTCACCTGCTCCCAAGGGGACCCATTCAGCCTCATGCACCCCCTCTTTAACACCGATGGGATGCAGCCCCTTTAAAAAGCTGCTTCTCTGTAACAGGTGCCTATTTAAGAGCTTAAGATTGGGGGGGGGGAACCACCACGGTGATGAGTAGGGGGTGCATTGCCCTTTTAAGAGAAGGCTGCACCTCTTCGGCAGGAACCCACCACTACAAGCCTCTTATGGGGGGGGTCCAAACCATGGCAGGACCCTTTTAAGGGGGGGTCTTAATGGAGGGGAGGAAGAGGAAGGGGACAAGGACGAGGATATTCCCCCCAAGCCCCTTATAGAGAGGGTTTCCACACCATGTCAGGACCCTTTTAAGGGGCGGTCTTAATGGAGGGGAGGAAGATGAAGGGGAGAAGGAAGAGGATCCCCCCCCCAAGCCCCTTATAGAGGGGGGGGTCCACACCATGGCAGGACCCTTTTAAGGGGGGGGTCTTAACAGAGGAGAGGAAGGGGACAAGGAAGAGGATTCCCCCCCCACCCCAGCAGCATCGTGTGGGTCCCCCTTAAAAGGGGCTGTACCAAGTACATTGGGAGGGGGGGGGGTACCTGTGCGATGCCGGTGACGGAGATGGGCACCCCATGGCGGGTGTACACCTTCTCGCTGCGCACGTTGAGGGTCAGCGTGTTGAGGGAGATCCTAAGGGAAGGATGGATCCCAATTCCCGGTATCCATCCCTATGGATATATCCCATTCCCCCCCCCAAATTCCTCACCTTTGGATCTGCTGCAGGCACGGCACCACCAGCACCCTGCCCCCGGCCACCATGACGGGGGGGCTGCGGCAGAAGCCTGAGGGGACGAGCGTTGTTATGGAGGAATCCAAGCGCCCAAGGGAAAGGGGAAAAAGGGTAAAGGAGGGGGGGTGTCTGCGGCTCACCCGACACCACCATGGCCTCGTTGGGGCCACACGTGAAGAACATCGCGGCGGGGACCCGGCCTGAGGCGCGGCGATGGCCGCCGCCCCCCCCTTCACCTCCCCTCAGGCTCCGCTACCACCCTCCCTGTTCTACCCAGCAACCGGTGACGTCACGGCAGCCCCGCCGCTCTCATTGGCTGAGCGGCAGAAAGGGCGGGAAGGAGGGAGGGGAAGGAGAAGGAGGAGGGCGGGCTCCGGCGCCATCTTGAGGCGCAGCGGCCATGTTGGGGTGATGGGGTTTGAGGCTGTTATGGGGCGGGGAAAGGGGCTGGGCCAGCGCTCGGGGCCGCCTCCGAGGTAGAACGGGCGGAGGGTGCGGGTTTGGAGCCGATGGGATGGGGAGAAGGGGATGGGGGACGGGGGACTTCCCTTGTAGCGCTTGTGGGGGGGGGGGGGTTCGGTGTGGGGTCCCAATGCGGGGTCTCCTGTGAGGTGTTAATGGGGGTTTGTCGCCGTCAGAGCGCCCGTTTATTGCATTTTACAGCGGGTTGAATTAAAATCTCCCTATTTTACCTCATAATTCCCCGCTTTGAGCCCCGCAGGTTGCACATAGCGGCTCTGCCATTGCCTCAGGCTGCAGACACCATCGTTACCACAAGCGGATCCCCTCACCGCGGCTCACCCAGAGGTAATTCCGCAGGGATTCCGTGCCAGGTGTGCTCTGTCGCCCTGTTTCGGCCCGTTTGTGGCTATTTTGCTGCTCTGATCTGGGGTTGTCGTGCTACAAACGCAGTGCTAGGGGATCAGGGCATGGTTTGGGGTGGGAAGGAGCAATTCCAACCCTTCCAATTGGAGCCCCCTTTCTAGTGGATTCATCAAGCAAGCTTGTGCCTTGTAACCGTGTTTTTAACCGTTATTCCTCATTTTTAACATCAGTGAACAACAAACAGGCAAATTCACGCGTCTAATAGAAATACATGGCTGTATATTGAAGTTTTCCAGCATAGCGAATGGATGTGGAACCCAATTGGAATCGCATGCTCAAATAGCTCCTAAGCTGCTTAGACTGGAGCATTGCTGTGCCCCGTTCAAATACATGTTAGTCTGTTCAAGCCAAATATTTGGGATGCTTTAATTGAAAAGGGAAGAGATGTGGGGTATAATTTGGGGGGGGAAATACTGTGATAAATTCCGTTGTGCGTATTGCTGCGTAATAGTTCTCGAGTCAATTAATACATTAAAATGATAGAATCCTAGCAAAAAGTTTTCTTTATTAACAGTAATAACATATAAAATTAATATCTGATGTTAGAAAAACCGTGTTTATCCAGAAGAAGTTGCTGTTTCAGCTGTAATGAGCTGCACATCTGCTCTGTACTCAGTCATACTAGAGAAGAGGCAGTGGGGTTGGCGTTTATGTGTCATTGTGTGGCTTTGATTTGGGGTTTCTTTAAATGACTTGCCTGGATTTAACAACTAAAGCACCAAATGACTTAAGCAAGGCCATAGAGTCATCCCATAGAGCATTCCTTCTACATGGGGCATCCAAGCCTTCTCCCTTCCACCCATCCCGGTGTCCCAGCAGCACCACAGTGAAGGAATTCCTTGTATCCAGCCTAAATCTCCTGCTTAAACCCGTTATTCCTTGGGCTGCAGGTCCCTCTCCATGTCCTCGGAGCCCTGTGGGAGCTGCTCATCCGCATGGATTCTGACAGCTCCATGGCTGGATACTGAGGACGCTGGGATTGCACCGCGCCAGCGGTCCCATCAGTGAGCAAGGCGGATGGCTTCTCATTGCCTGCTATTCGTTCTATGCTGGGGCCTCCAGCACCTCCTCGTCCGGTGTCATTCCAAATGGTGACTTCCAGAATTCCTTGGATGACTGGGATTTCCCATTGGAGCTCATTATGTGATCAGTACAACCCATTTACCCCATGTAGCTTCGGTTGGATCCTGTGGAGACCTCCCCTTTGAACACCCAGCCCAGCATTGGCTACCAGGGTACCCACAGGAGCTGTGCTTCAGCACCAATCCCTTCCGAAGCAGGATGCTTCCAAGGGCACTGAAAGGGTATTCCCAATTCCGGGATCTATTCCCACTGTAAGGAGCCTGGGCGGGGGGGATGGATGGATATATCTCCTCCATAGGTTGAATGGGAATGGTTACCAATTCCCATTCCATGCCTTCCATAGGCTAGAGGTGATGACCACACAATTCCAGACCAGTTTAATGAGCACTAAGGATCTATTGTATTACAAATCATTACAACAAGCTCAGCCCAGACACCCCAGCCCCACGACAGCAAATACTGGCTGTCAGTAAGATACAGCACGCTGATACCCCATGATGGAGGGGAGCAACTCCCAACAGCAACCACCAACACCAAAAGGAATGCCTGTTAATGAGGAACAATGAGTGCTTATCACAGCACTCTGCTCGGATCTGGTGTTATCCCAACCCTGCCAGCCCCACGTGGGGTGCCACTAAGTGGGATGGGGAGAAGCTCTCACTCCCATGGGGCGAGATAAGAGCAGTGCAGTAACTAGGGTAGAACACAAACCCATTACTGCTACCACCTATGGTCATAAGGATAAGAGGAGTAACAAGGGGAGAGAATACAGCCGCTCGCTACCTGCCTACCAAAACCCAACCTGACCCAAGCATCTCTTCCAGGTGAGTCCTAACCCTAACCCTAACCCTAACCCTAACCCTTTGGCTACTTTGGGTTAGGGGTCCTGGTTTGACTTCCTCCTGGCTTCCCATGCTCTTCTTCCTTGGCAGAGCATGAGACTGCAAGCCCTTGGTTAGGGTAAGCAGTACTTAGCGTTAAGTAATACTTGATGCTAAATACTTAACAATTAACTTACACTTAACAACTAAAAACATCCCTGTTATCAGCTTTGTTCTCAGCCTAAAGCCCAAACCCGGCACTGCACCAGCTACTAAGGAGGAGAAAACTGCTGCAGGACAGACCTCGAGAGGTGGAGGTGGGTATCCCTACACCATGGAATTCAAGAGGCTGACCTGGTGTCACCTTCCTGCCTTTCTCCATGCTAAACACCCTCTCTACCCCCATCTACCCCTCACACCAAGCTTGTCCCAGCTCCATCTCATCTCTTTTGTGTCTGCAGCGTTGATGTGCCGTGCCCTGGGATCCATCGGGGATCGCTGGGCTCCACCCAGCTCTCAACCCCGAGGTAGAACCCATCAGAAAGAGAGACCAGCGTTTATTGTGCAGTAGAAGCTTCAGATTTAATCCATGCTCATTACCAGCGGTGATTAATTAAGCAGCTATCAGCAAAGAAGAGGGTCAGCAGCAAGAAGCAGCCTCCAGTTGCAGGAGCTCATCCAGCCCATGCAGGAGTTAAACGGGAGTCACTGCAGGGATAAGAGGAAGAGACGCATCACCCAGGGCTACATCCCTGTCCCCACAGAGCCCATTGCTCTCGGGGAGGGGGGGCTCGGTATCCCCCTGCATCCCATGGAGGCTCCATGGAGGAGCTGGGGCCACCCCATCTGTGCCCACTGGTCCCACCTCGTACCTGCTGGTTAGGTGGTAGAACCCATGGCCATGCCTGCAAGAGAAAGAGCTGTGAGCAGCAAAGACACCTCTGGAGACACCTCCTTTTCCATATAGTTCCTACTACGAGGGGATGAGGGATCGGGAAACCAGAGGCACGGGACCACCACGGTGCTGGCTTGGGCACCGGTGCTCACCTGGGGGCATGTTGTAGCCATCCTTCTTCTTCTTGTCTGCAGAGAGGAAAAGACATCAGCACCCACCATGGGGCTGGTCAGGGCTCCCCAGAGCAGCAGCTCCTGCCCTGCCTTTCTCCCTCTGGAGACGGGGCCTTACCCAGTGTGCGCTTCCAGAAGACCCCTCCGATCGTGATGAGGATGATGATGAGCATCACAACAGCCACCACCAGCAGGGTGCTGTGCAGGTCAGACTGCGGCTCTGGAGGAAGAGCAGGAGGATGAGGAGGTAGAAGGGGGGGAACCACCCCCACCGTGTGCTCCCCCAGCCCCCCCAAGGCTCACCCAAAGCATAGAGGCCGGGTTGGAGGAGGCTGGCGTGTTCCACCTGGCACCGGTACCTGTCCTTGTCCCTGGGGCTGGCCTCGATGGAGGCCCACATGTAGTAGGTGCCGTCGCTGTTGGGTGCGATGCTGCCCCATTTGGTGTCCTGGTCCCTCACCTCGCTGTCCTTCAGCCAGCTGAGCACGATGGGCCGCGGGTAGAAGCCGTGAGCGCGGCAGGTCAAGGTCAGGATCCCATCCGTCTCCTTCCCTGACACTCGCACCGTGGGCGGCACTGGGAATGGGATGGCGGGCAGGGATCAGACCACGCGCCCACAGCGTGCGCTCGCGGCCCTGAAAGCCAACCCCGTATCCTGGGCTGCATCCAAAGGGAGCGTGACCAGCAGGGGCCAAGGAGGTGATCCTGCCCCTCTGCTCTGCTCTCCTCTCCTCTCGGGAGACCTCCCTTGGAGCATTGTGTGCAGTTCTGGGGTCCTCGACATAAAAAGGACATGGAACTGTTGGGACAAGTCCAGAGGAAGCCACGAGGATGATCAGGGGTCTGGAGCACCTCCTGTATTGGAGACAGGCTGGGAAAGTTGGGGTTGTTCAGCCTGGAAAAGGGAAGGCTGCATGGAGACCTCATGGTATCTGGAATGCTGGGGATGGACTCATTAGGGACTGTAGTGATAGGACAAGGGGTAACGGGTTCAAACTTAAACAGGGGAAGTTTAGATCGGACATAAGGAAGAAGTTCTTCCCTGTTAGGGTGGTGAGGCACTGGAATGGGTTGCCCAGGGAGGTTGTGAATGCTCCATCCCTGGCAGTGTTCAAGGCCAGGTTGGATGAAGCCTTGGGTGCCATGGTTTAGTGTGAGGTGTCCCTGCCCATGGCACTGGATGATCTCAAGGTCCTTTCCAAGCCACGCTGTTCTGTGGTTCTATGGCCCGGGCCCCACTGTCTCCATCTCACCCTCACCTCTCCTCTCCAGCTCGAGCTGCCCGTAGCGCACGTAGTTCTTCAGCCACTCCACGCAGGTGTTCTCCAGGTAGTTCTTTTGGTGCTCAGCTACGCTCCCATCGTGTTCCCACTTCCTCTTGGTGACCTGCGCCGCCGCGTCCGCCGCGATGAACGTCATGGTGTCCATGTCGAAGGTGATGAAGTCCTGCCCATCGATGGTGTCCTCAGAGTACCCCTTGATGCTCCCATCGTCCAGGAGGTCACAGCCAGACATGCGCTGCAGTGTCTGAGCCCCTGCACCAGCACCGGTGAGATGGGGCTGAGGGGCTGCCCCACACAGCCCATCCCAGCCCCACAGAGCCCCCTCCAGCCCCATGAAGTGCCATCCCTGCCCCACACTCACTCCCGCTCTGGTTGTAGCGGTCCCGCACTGTGTTCAGGTTACTGTAGGAGATCTGCTCGTTGCTCTGTCCAATACGGGTCTGTTCAACCCAGTATTCCTGATCCACATTGGCCTCAATCCACTGTGTCCGGGGCTGATACCGCTTGCTCTCACTGTCATAGCGCACAAAGGGGGACCCCATCCACATATCCCATGTCCTGGTACCGGGGAACCCCCGGGCTGGGGTCTGACACGGCGAACTCGAAGTACCGCAGGGAATGGAGCACTGTGGGGACACAGGGCTGAGGGTGACCTGGGCTCCAGAGTGGGGTGACGGGGATGTGGCTGATGGGGGGTGTGGGGTGTGTGTGTCTTTGTTCTCATGGAAGGGGGTCCAGCTGCCAGAGAAAGGAGGGGTCCAGGGCTGGGAGAGTCGGGATTGATGGGAAGCGGCGACCGGGGGTGTCCTGGGTGTCCGTAAAGCAGCCCCAGCGGAGGGCTCTGGAGGTCCTGGTGCTTGGAAAAGGGAATCCAAGGGGGTCCCAGGGAGTGTTTCGAGGGGTTCCTGGTGCCACGGAAGGGGAATGTTGGCAAGGGAGGGTCTGAGGGGCATCACAGTACCCAGAGAGGGGGAATAAAGGGGGTCCAGGGGCGTCCCGATGCCCAGGGGGGCAAGGCGGATGTCCTGGGACATAGGGGATGGGGCACCGGTGCCCAGGGAAGAGGTCCATGGGGGTCCCGGGCCCCTGTGCCCGTGCTCACCTCTCGCCGCCCCTCCGAGGCTGCACAGCAGCAGGAGCCCCACGGCAAGGTCTGGCCCCATTGCGCTGGTCCTCTGAGCACTGACCCTGGATCCTCGCCACCAGCCCCTCTTCAGCTATTGGCTCCACCCTTAGCACCCACCAATAAGAAACCCGGACCGCTCCGGACGTCACCGGTTGCCGGGCAGATCCCACTGTCGACGTTGGGAAATCGAAAGCGAAACGATCTGTCTTGGAAACCCCCCTGGTTCCCGGCCTGACGAGTCGGGATTCAGACCCATAATAAGGAACAGGCATCGTTGTGACTTTGGAAACCCATCCAGCTCAGACGTAAGGCTCGATCCTGGTGGATCTGGGGCTTCGTGCGCAGGGAATGGGGCACCGGTGCCCGGGAAAAGAGGTCCAGGGAGGTCCTGGTACTCAAGAAAAGGGTCCTGGGACGTGGGAATGGGGCAAACTCTGCTAAACATTGATAACAGAGAAACCTTTATTCGTGTCCAAGAGGTGCGAGAAGTGACTGCGATGCATACATGTGTACATCTGACCTAGTGCAAGCCACGGGTGCCCGCCGTGGTCACGGTCCCACAGCAGGGACATGGTGCTGTCCCCAGCCCAGCCACCGTGCAACTGGTACAGCTTCCATGGTCCCTACTCATAGCTCCTGGTGTCCCCATCCCTGAGCCCAGTGTCCCCATCATGGCTTGTGGTGGTCCCATCCCTTGGTGTCCCCATCCCATCCCTTGTGTCCCCATCATGGCTTGTGGTGGTCCCATCCCTTGGTGTCCCCATCCCATCCTTGGTGTCCCTGTCGGCTTGTGGTGGTCCTATCCCTTGGTGTCCCCATCCCGTCCCTTGGTGTCCCCATCCCGTCCCTTGGTGTCTCCAACCCATCCCTTGGTGTCCCCATCCCATCCCTTGGTGTCCCCATCATGGCTTGTGGTGGTCCCATCCCTTGGTGTCCCTATCCCATCTCCTTATGTCCCTATCCATGTTCTCAGTGTCCCCATCCCATCTCCCACTGTCCCCATCCATGTTCTCAGTGTCCTCATCCCATCTCCCACTGTCCCCATCCCCTGGTGCCCCATGCTGGCATTTGGTGTCCCCATCTCATTTCCTTGTGTCCCCATCCATGTTCTCACTGTCCCCATCTCCCACTGTCCCCATCCCATTCCCCACTGTCCCCATCCCATTCCCCACTGTCCCCATCTCCCACTGTCCCCATCCCCTGGTGCCCCCATGCTGGCATTTGGTGTCCCCATCTCATTTCCTTGTGTCCCCATCCATGTTCTCACTGTCCCCATCCCATTCCCCACCGTCCCCATCCCATCTCTCCGTGCCCCCCTCCTGCTCCGTTGCGTCCCCATGCCCTGGTGCCTCCCAGCAGCGGTTCTCGGGGCGCAGGAGCTCCCTGGGGTTCCTCAGCTCCCGCAGGCGTCCCCCGGCCAGCACGGCCACGCGCTGCGCCCGCAGCGCCAGGGCCGCCCGCCCCGTCACCAGCAGCACCGAGCGCCCGGCGCTCAGCACCTCCTGCTCCACCTGCGCGGGACGTGGGATGTGGTGACAGGGGGGCGTGGTGATACTGGGTATGGGGCATGGGGGTATGGGGATATGGGACATGGGGGTATGGGGATATGGGACATGGGGGTATGGGACATGGGGGTGTGGGGATATGGGACATGGGGGTATGGGACATGGGGGTATGGGAATATGGGACATGGGGGTATGGGACATGGGGGTGTGGGGATATGGGGGTATGGGACATGGGGGTATGGGGATATGGGACATGGGTATATGGGACATGGGGATATGGGACATGGGGGTATGGGGATATGGGATATGGGGATATGGGACATGGGAATCTGGGACATGGGGGACATGGGACATGGGGACATGGGGATCTGGGACATGGGGATATGGGACATGGGGATATGGAACATGGGGATATGGAACATGGGGATATGGGGATATGGGACATGGGGGTATGGGGATATGGGACATGGGAATATGGGATATGGGGATATGGGACATGGGAATCTGGGACATGGGGATATGGGACATGGGGATCTGGGACGTGGGGGTATGGGGATATGGGGATATGGGACATGGGGGTATGGGGGTATGGGACATGGGGGTATGGGGACACTGAGAATGAGGACCCAGTGGACAAGGAGACCAGTGAGCAAGGGGACATGGGGATGCATTGAGACCATGGGGACATGGGAAGGGCCCCAGGGGACCAGGCACCAAGGGGACCCCAGGACTGGTGGCCATGGGAACCCAGACACCAGGGCCCCTCTGAGGACAATGGAAAGAGAACACAAAGGGGGCACAAAGGGGGCACAAAGGGGACACAAAGGGGGCACAGGTGTCACCTCCCACCTGAGCACTGGTCTTGGCATCCAGGGCGCTGGTGGGCTCATCGAGGACGAGGACACAGGGGTCCCTCAGCAGGGCACGAGCAATGGCCACGGCCTGGCGTTGTCCCCCGGAGAGCTGCGTCCCCAGGTCCCCCACCTCTGCAGGGAGGGAGATGGGGCCATGGAGGGCCATGGGGACCCATCGGGATGCTATGGGATACAGGGACGTGGGGACAGCCGTGTGGTACCGGTGTCGTAGCCGTGGGGCAGGCGGCGGATGAAGGGGTCGGCACCGGCGCGGCGCGCGGCTGCTGTCACCTGCGCCCGGCTCCGGCCACCAGCCCCATAGGAGATGTTGGCGTGGAGGGAGCGGGAGGAGAGCAGCGGTTCCTGGGGGACAACGGCCACCTGGGGACATGGGACATGGGGATATGTGATATGGGGATGTGGGAGATGAGGACATGGGGATGTGGGATATGGGACATGGGGATGTGGGGATATAGGACATGGGGATGTGGGATATGGGATATGGGGATGTGGGAGATGGGGACATGGGGATTTGGGACATGGGGATGTGGGGATATAGGACATGGGGATTTGGGACATGGGGACATGGGGATGTGGGACATGGGGACATGGGGATGTGGGACATGGGGATGTGGGATATTGGACATGGGGATGTGGGATATGGGACATGGGGATGTGGGGATGTGGGACTGGGGACATGGAACATGGTGCTTGTCTGGTGACATGGGGAAGGCCTTGGAGACCTGTTGGTGATGGTTGGTGACACAGGGGTGGCCATGGGGACCCGTTGGTGATGGTTGGGGACACAGGGGTGGCCATGGGGACCCGTTGGTGATGGTTGGGGACACAGGGGTGGCCATGGGGACCCGTTGGTGATGGTTGGGGACCCATTGCTGGCACCTGCTGGCGCAGGTGGCGGTGCCGGTACGCGGGAAGTGGGTGCCCATCCAGCAGCACCCTCCCGCGGTGGGGCTGGTGCAAGCCCAGCACCAGGGACACCAGGGTGCTCTTCCCCACACCCGGGGCACCCACCACGGCCAGGACCTGCCCAGGGAGTAGCTCCAGAGACACGCCCTAGGGGACAGAGGTGATGTTCTATGGCCCCAACCCCATGATGAGACCCATCCGTGTCCCCATCCATGTCCCCATGACCCCATCCATGTCCCCATGACCCCATCCATGACCCTATCCATGTCCTCATCCATATCCCCATGACCCCATCCATCTCCCCATGTCCCCATCCATGTCCCCATCCGTGTCCCCATGACCCCATCCATGTCCCCATCCATGTCCCCATGACCCCATCCATGTCCCCATCCATGACCCCATCCATGTCCCTATGGCCCCATCCATGACCGCATCCGTGTCCCCATGACCCCATCCACGTCCCCATCCATGACCCCATCCATGTCCCCATGACCCCCTCCATGTCCCCATCCATGACCCCATCCATGCCCCCATCCACGCCCCCATCCCTGTCCCCATGGCCCAATCCTTGACCCCATCCATGTCCCCATCCACATCCCCATGACCCCTTCCATGTCTCCATGCCCCCATCCATGTCTCCATCCACATCCCCATGACCCCCTCCATGTCCCCCTGCCCCACCGTATACCAGTGCCCACCTTGAGGACGGGCTCTTGCTGCTCGGGGTAGGAGAACCAGACATCCTCAAGCTTGAGGTGACCCCGCACCTTGGGCTCCAGCGTCCCCTCCGGTGTCCTCTGCTCCTCCTCATCCAGGAACTCCAAGACCTTCTCCGAGGAGCCCACGGCCTTGGTCAGGCTGGGGTAGTAATTGAGCAGGACCTGGGGGACACAGAGAAGGGGACACAATGGGACCAGCACTGGGGACACAGCGGATGGGCACACGTTGGGAGAGGACATTGGGGCCACCTCGATGGAGCTGGTGAACTGCATCTGGTACATGAGGAAGGTGACCAGGTCCCCGGTGCTGATGGTCCCTGCGGCCACCATCTGTCCCCCGTAGTAGAGGAGCCCCAACTTCAAAGCCAGCGCCAAGAACTGGGGGACACGGATGGAAGGTCACCCAGCACCAGGGGACACCAATGGGGGGGGTCCCCTGTCCCCCTTCCTGGTCACGGGCACCTCCATAGGGACACTGAGCTCCCAGCCTTGCCCTGTGCCACCGCATCTATGTCACCATCACCAATGGGTCCCCATGGCCACCCCCGTGACCCCAACCATCACCAGCAGGTCCCAGTGGCCACCCCTGTGTCCCCAACCATCACCAATGGGTCCCCATGGCCACCCCTGTGTCCCCAAGCATCACCAATGGGTCCCCATGGCCACCCCTATGTCTCCATGACCTCAGAGCCCCCTGTGTCCTGCTGTCCCCATGTGTGTCCCCCCCCATATCTCCACATCCGTACCCCACTGATCCAGCCGGTGGCCGCGTACGTGAGCGCCTGGGTGGCCTCCAGCCTCTGCACCCGTTGCAGTCGCTCCTGGTACCTCTGCACCGCTCCGGCCTCGAAGGCGAAGCCACGGACGGTGCCCATGGCCTCGAAGGTCTCCATGGCCACCCCGGTGGCACCGGCCAGCGCCTCCTGCACCCGTTGGGACAGCCCCTGGGACAAGGAGCACACGGGGAGGTGATGGGGGGACATGGAGGGGACAGCACCCACGTGGAGGTGCCGATGTCCCGTCCCGTCCCCAATAGGTACCTGCTGGACACTGCCCATAGCCTGGGCGACCAACAGGAGCACCGGCACTGCCAGGAGGGTGGTGATGGCCAGCACTGGGGCCACCCAAGCCATGGGGAGCAGCAGCAGCATCGCCCGCGCCACCTCCCACAGCAGCAGCAGCAGCGCGTCGGCCACGGCCTCATGGGTGGCATCGACGTCCCCGGTCACCCGCGACGTCACCGCTCCGGCACCCAGCGCCTGTAACGCCAACAGGTCCCGGTGCAGGATGGCGGCAAAGGCCCGGGTGTGGAGGTGGCCAAAGACCCGGCTCAAGGTGCCCACGTAGGTGGCATCGCAGGTGAACTCGGTGACGGCACTGGGGTGGCATTGGGGGGGGGTGGGGTGGGTGTGTGGGCTCTGTTAGGGGGAGGGTGTCCCCTTGTCACCCCCTCTGAGCCCCCCATGGTGTCACTGGCCTACCTGGTGACCCCAAGCAGCACAATGGAGACGATGGTTGCCAATTTGTCCTCGCTGGCCACCCAGTCGGAGACGTGGCCGATGAAGTAGGGGACGGTGACCTCAGCTGGGGGCGTGGGGGTGTGAGGGATGGGGAGATGGGGATGTGGGAGGTGAGGGTCATGGAGATATAGGGACATGGGGAGATGAGATATGGGGAGATGGGGATATGGGACGTGAGGGTCATGGGGATATAGGGATATGGGGAGAGGGGGATATGGGACGTGAGGGTCATGGCTATATAGGGATATGGGGATATGGGACATGGGAATTCCCCCTCATCCCACACCCCATTGTACCCCCCCATGGCTCCTGCCCTCCTCAATGGCTCCTACCCCCCCCATCATGGGTCCTGCCCTCCAAGTACCGAGTACCGAGGCCACCATCAGCCCGGCCACGATCGTGCAGCGCCTTTGCTCGGGACGAAACAGCTCCAGGAAGCGGCGGGAGGGGTTTGGAGCCATTGGGGGTGCCCCGGGACCCCTCGGACCCTCCGGTCCCTCCGAGCATCGAAAGCGAAAGCGATCGAAGGCGGCTCTGATTGGTCAAGGGAGGTCGCGTCATCGGTTGCTGGCAGATGGAGCTGGAGCAGGATGAGGACGGAAGGAGCGGGGCAAAAAGGGGGCGGGGCTATAGGGGTGGTGATTGGAGGAAAAAAGGAAGGGGGCGGGGACTTGAAAGTGAAAGCAAACGGGTCCGTACTGGGAGCGCTGGTGTGGACTGGTGAGTGCCCCAGGGTGCTGGGCAGGGTGCTAGGGCTGTACTGGGAACGCTGGTGTGGACTGGGGAGTGCCCCAGGGTGCTGAGGCTGTACTGGGAGCACTGGTGTGGACTGGTCAGTGCCCCAGGATGCTGAGCAGGGTGCTGGGGCTGTACTGGGAGCGCTGGTGTGGACTGGGGAGTGCCCCAGGGTGCTGGGGCTGTACTGGGAGCACTGATGGTGATGACCCCATTTGTGCCCCGCAGCGTGCTGAGGCTCCAGACTGGGACTGGGGGAGCTGTACTGGGAGCACACTGGTCCATACTGGTTCCGCACCATGGCTCTGCCGCCCACCCTGGCCACAGCCTCATCGCTGCTGCTGCTGCTGCTCCTGGACGCGGTGCTGGTGACCGCGGTGACCGTGGTGGCCCCGGTGCTGCCACCGTGGCCACTGGTGACTGCGTGGCTGGAGGCCGGGCTACGGGTGCTGGCGATGACCGCGGCCACGCGGGCCCTGTCCCTGCGGTGTCCCCGCGGTGCCGCCGTCACCATCAGTCTCACCCCAGCCGCCTTCAGCACCCTCCAGAGCCTCCTGGGGCCACCGGGCCCAGCGCTGCCTCTCTTAGCCATGGCCAACCCGTGGTGGCTGGTGGCGACCCACGGCGCGGCCGCGGTGGCCGCGGTGGCCTGGGACATGCTGATGCCAGGGGGTTCCGACGCAGCCCAGGCCGCGGTGGCCGTGCGGCAGCTCTTGGCCTTGGCGAGGGATGAATGGCAGCTGTTTGGTTGTGCCTTCGTGGCCTTGGCGTTGGCCGTGTTGGGTGAGTGATGGTGGGCTTGGGGTGGGCTTGGGGATGGTGGTGGTGAGCGTCACCCACCCGTGGTCTTGCAGGGGAGGTGGCTGGGCCCTACTGCACCGGGAAGGCTTTGGAGGCCATCAGGAGCGGGGATGGAATCACTGGCGTCGCGCTCGGCATGGTGCTGGCGGCGGAGCTGGGCAGGTTGGTGGGCACATGTCCTTGTTGGCTGTCTGTTCATCCATCCCTCATCCATCCATCATCTATCCATCCATCCATCCATCATCCATCCATCCATCATCCCTCCATTCATCATCCATCCATCCCTCATCCATCCATCATCCATCCATCCATCCATCATCCATCCATCCATCATCCATCCATTCATCATCCATCCATCCATCATCCATCCATCATCCATCCATCCATCCATCCGTCATCCATCCATCATCCATCCATCCATCATCCATCCATCATCCATCCATCCATCATCCATCCATCATTCATCATCCATCCATCCATCATTCATCATCCATCCATCATCCATCCATCCATCCATCCATCATCCATCCATCCATCCATCATCCATCCATCCATCCATCCATCATCCATCCATCCATCATCCATCCATCATTCATCATCCATCCATCATTCATCATCCATCCATCATTCATCATCCATCCATCCATCATCCATCCATCCATCATCCATCCATTCATCATCCATCCATTCATCATCCATCCATCCATCCATCCATCCATCCATCCATCCATCCATCCATCATCCATCCATCCTTCCATCCATTCCCGTGCCGATGGTACCCATGCATCCACGACGTATCCATGTCATCTCCATGTCCACCCCAGCTCCTTCTTTGCCGGCTGCCGTGGTGGCCTCTTCCTCTTGGCCCAAGCCCGCCTCAAGCTGTCAACTTCTACCCAGCTCTTCTCCCACCTGCTCCACCGGGACCTCACCTTCTTCCAGGAGACTCCAGCAGGTTGGTGGTGCCCCCATCACCCCCCCGTCCCCATCCCAGCGCCGGCACCGGCGCTCACCGCGTGCCTGTCACCGCAGCCAAGCTCTGTGCCCAGTTATCCAACGAGGTGCCGCTGCTGTGCGGGGCCGTGCCCAAGAGCTCCAACGTGGCCTTGAGGAGCCTGGGCCTGGTCTTGGGCTTGGGGGGCTTCATGGTGCTGCTGTCACCTGAGCTGGCGCTGCTGGCGGCGCTGACGGTGCCCCTCACCATCGTCACCAGGAAGGTCTATGATGAGCGCTACCAGGTGGAGTGGGGAGAGGATGGTGGGATGGGATGGGTACCAAAAGGATGGGATGGGGTGGGGCAGTGGAGACAGGATGGGTACCAAAAGGATGGGATGGTGGGGACACAAGAGGGGTGGGGTGATGGGATGAGGACAGGGTGGGATGAGGATGGGATGGGATAGGATGGGATGTGTGCGTCTCCATGGCCAGGCGCTGCAGCGTGCGGTGCTGGATGCCACGGCCGCCACGGCCGCGGTGGTGCAGGACACGGTGGCTGCCATGGACACGGTTCGGGCCTGCGCCGGGGAGGAGGAGGAGGAGCAGCGGCACTGCAGGGCCGTGACCGAGCTACTGAGGCTGAAGCAGCGCCTGGAGCTGGAGCGGATTCTCTACATCCTGGTCCAGCGGGTATGGAGGGGGCCGTGTCTCCTGTCCCCCTCCCTGGTGTCCTACTTATCCCTGTCCCGCTGATCCCAGTATCCCGCTGATCCCGGCCCCGCAGGTGCTGCTCCTGGCGCTGCAGGTCCTGGTGCTGTTCCAAGGGTACCAGCTGCTCCGGGACGGCTCCTGCACCGCCGGGGATCTCAGCACCTTCCTGCTCTACCAGGCCAGGTTCAGGGACCATGTGGAGGTGAGGCCCTGCGATGTGGTGTCCCCTCTCCGTATCCACCCATCCCTTTTCTATGTCCATCTTCTCCATGTCCATCCATCTTCTCCATGTCCACCCATCCCCTCTCCATATCCACCCATCCCTTTTCTGTGTCCATTTCTCCATGTCCATCCATCTTCTCCGTGTCCACGCATCTTCTCTCCATATCCACCCATCCCTTTTCTATGTCCATCTTCTCCGTGTCCATCCATCTTCTCCATGTCCACCCATCCCCTCTCCATATGCATCCATCCCTTTTCTGTGTCCATTTCTCCATCTGTCTTCCCCATGTCCATCCATCCCCTATCTATGTCCATTTTCTCCATGTCCATCCATCCCTTTTCTATGTGCACCTTCTCCATGTCCATCCATCCTTCCCTTTTCCATGTCCCTCTTCTCCATGTCCATCCATCCCCTCTCCATATCCACCCATCCCTTTTCTATGTCCATCTTATCCATATCCACCCATCCCTTTTCCATGTCCATCTCCTTCATGTCCATCCATCCCTTTTCTATGTCCATTTCTCCATGTCCATCCATGTTCTCCATGTCCATCCCCTCTCCATATCCACCCATCCCCTTTCTATATCCATCTTATCCATATCCACCCATCCCTTTTCCATGTCCACCCATCCCTGCTCCCACCACCAGGCTCTGCTCAGCGGCCACGGCGAACTCCTGGCCAAAGCCACCGCCAGCCGCCGCCTCTTGGCCAACCTCCACCACATCCCCACCGGTGGCACCGGTGGCACCCAGCGCCCGGCCACCCTCCGCGGCCACGTCGCCTTCCACCGCGTCACCTTCGCCTACCCCACGCGCCCCGAGTGTCTCGTCCTGCAGGTACCTATGGGGAGGGGGGGGACGGACACCCCTTGGGCACCTGAAGTGCCCCATGGGTGATGCCACCCTCCCCATGTAGGACGTCACCTTCGAGGTGCTCCCCGGCGAGGTGACGGCGCTGGTGGGAGCCAACCGCAGCGGGAAGAGCTCTTGCGCGGCGCTGCTCAAGAGGTTCTATGAGCCCCAGAGCGGGGAGGTGCTGCTGGACGGGGTCCCCTTGAGGGACTACGAGCACCGGTACCTGCACCAGGAGGTGAGGGCTTCACCACGGGCAAATCCATCTCGGTGGCCATCTACGATGGTGGTGAGCAGGGATGGGCATGGATACGCACCACATCCTTGTCTCTGAATGGAGAGACGTGGGTTTGGCTGGCCGGATGGTCCCATTCCAAGAGTTGTGGTCAACCACAACGGGATGGGATGGGATGAGGCTCCAACTGGAAGAGTTAGATGGATCCTAGGAAGAAGAGGGTGGTGGGACATCAGAATGCGTTGAATGGAGAAGGTTTGGATGCTCCATCCCTTTCAAGGCCGGGTTGGATGGGGCTTGGAGCATCCTGCCCTAGCGCAAGGTATCCGTGCCCGGGATTCCATGGCTCCATTCCCAGGTGGTGCTGGTGGAGCAGGAGCCCATCCTCTTCTCCGGAACCATCCGAGACAACATCACCCTGGGGCTGGAAGGCGCCGGGGAGCACGAGGTGAAGGCGGCCGCCGCGTTGGCCGGAGCCTGGAGCTTCATCACGGACCTGGAGCAGGGGCTGGACACCGGTGAGTGCTGCTGGGGGGGGATAGGACCCCAAATCCCCCACATCCTGATCACATCCCCCCCCATTCTGCGCCCCATAGATGTGGGGCACAAAGGGGCACAGCTCTCAGCGGGGCAGAGGCAGCGCGTGGCCATAGCCCGGGCTCTGCTGCGCCGACCGACCGTCCTCATCCTCGATGAGCCCACCAGCGCCCTGGAGGGCGGTGAGGAGCTGGAGGTGATGTGGGGCTGCTGATGATGGGGGGGGTGTGGGGGTGGTGTCCCAGCCCCATAGCGGGTGCTGAGGGTGCTGCTGTCCCACAGCCATGGCGCTGGGTGCAGCTGGGGGTCACCAGGACGTTGCTGCTCATCACCCACTGCCCACGGCTCCTGGCCGGGGCCGACCGCGCCGTGGGGCTGGGCCCTGCCATGGGGCCAATCCCTGGGGAAGTGAGGACACGGAGCCGGGTCCCTGCTATGGGGTGGTGATGCCCCCAGCAATGGGGAGCAGTGATTGGCAATAAAGCCACGTCTACCTGGGCCTGGTGATGTTGTCCGGGAGCATCCCAAAGGGCCGGGATGCAGGGCAGGAGTAAAGGGGGGATTGGGAGTTGGACATCGGGACCGTTCCACCATGGAACTGTGGTCAAGGTGAGATGGGATGAGATGCAGTTTGGGGTGATTTAGGGCGATTTTGGGGTGGTTAGTAGGGTTTTTTTGCTGAGGGTCAGTGTGTTTTGGTGTGTTTTCGTGGGGTTTGGGGTGTTTTAGGGGTATTTGAGCGTGGGGTTTGGGTTGTTTTGGTGTGTTTCGTGGTATTTCAGGGTCTTTTGGGGTATTTTTGGGGTGTTCCAGTATGTTTTGGGGTATTTGGGGGTATTTTAGGACTGTTTTTGGGGTGTTTTGTACTAACAGCACTAAAATGCCCCCAGATGGACTGGAATGGAGTGGGAGGGACTGGGGAGGCCACTGGGGATACTGGGAGGGAGTGGAATGACCCCACCATGAGCCCTGCGATGCCCAATAACACCCCCTGTGCCCATAGGGACCCCCAATAACGCCCTTTCTACACGTGTTACCCCCCCATTGATGTGCCACCCCCCCAAAAGGCTTAAGGGGATCCCCCCCATGAGATTGGGACCCCCCAAAGAGGCACCGTTGAAAGGGGGGGAGTCATTTATTGCCCCCCAAATAGGTCTTCATTGTAGACAATCTGCGTGCGCTTGTCCCTGTGGGAGCCCTTCGCGCTGTTCTTCACCGCTGGGGGGGGGGGGGTATGGAGAAGAAATGGGGGTCAGGGGTGAAGGGGGGACCCCATTCTTACCCCATAGGGGGGTTATGGGGTCCCTGTGACCCATAGGACCCTCCAGAGCCCCCCAACGCTCACCCAGGGACCCCCACAGAGACTTCCCGGTGGCCGCATCCAGCAGCGGCTGCTTCCGGGCGATGCTGACTTTGAGCTGCACGTCCTGGACCACGGCCCCATTCAACTGGATGGGGTAAGGGGGGGGTGGGTGTCAGCACCCCAAAACTCCCCCCATAGAGCCCCACAACACCCCCAGGGGCCCCCAAACCCCCCCCCCCCCCCCCCACCTCGGCAATGGCCTGATCCGCTGACTCCATCTTCTCATAGGTGACAAAGGCACAGCTGGGGAGGGAGAGGGTGGGGTTACATCAGGACACGCCCCCTTTGACCACGCTCATCCAATCAGCAATGTTTTTTAGCCCCTCCCACTCCCTTTAGCCCCGCCCCTTAAAGGGAAGCAACTCACTTGTAGCCAATGGGGTTGAAACTTGGCCCCTCCCCTTTGCTTTAGCCCCACCCCTTAAAGGGAGACAATTACAGCCAATGGGGTTGAAGCTTGACCCCTCCCACTCCCTTTAGCCCCGTCCCTTAAAGGAGGTATAGCCAATCCGGTTGACGCTTGACTCCACCCCTTTCCCTTAGCCACGCCCCCCTTTTAGCCATGATCATGCTTCCCAAACCACGCCCCCTCCCCGAAGCCCCGCCCACTTCCTGGGGGTGTCCATGGCCAGGTCGATGATGGCTCCGAAGGGGCCGAAGGCTCCGCGCAGCAGCTCCGGGCTCAGCTCCACTCCGTGCACGTACAAAGTGTTCCCTTTGCGGGGGGGGCGGCGCTCGGGGAACGAGTCCGACCCTAGAAATAGGGGGGTGGGGGGAAAAATGGGGTGAGGGACCCCCAAAAACACCCCCCTTGCTGCCCCCCCCCCCCCCCCCCCCCCATACTTCGGAATGGTCCATCCCGGTCCCGGCTCCGCTCCTCCGGCTCCGGGTCTTGTTCCCACTCCAGGCGCCGCTCCCCTCGCTCGGGGGGGTCCCCCCTTGAGCTCGACCCCCCCTCAGAGTCCCGTAGCCTCTCGCTGGCACTCACAAAGCTTGGGGGGAACGGGGGGGGGACACCCCAAATTAATGGGGGGGTTCAACATCAATGGGGGGGACACCCCAATTTAGGGGGGGCACCTTTACCTCTCATAGAGTGACTTCCTCTGTGGTCGACGCGACTGAAAGTGGGGGGGTGACACACACATGGTGATGGGGGGGACCCCCAAAATGTGGGGGAACCCCCCCCCTTCCCCCAGGTACCTCTTGGGTGTCGTCATCAGCCGAGATGCTGCGTTGGAAGGGCTGGAAGGTCGGGATCGGGCCCTTCTCGGGGTCCTATGGGGTACCCAAGGTAATGAGGACCCCTCATGGGGTTTGGGGGGGAAGGGGGGGGATATTGGGGGGGGGCCCCCCACCTTAAGTTTGCCCTCCAGGGTCCGGGAGCGTTTGAACCCCGAGTTCTTGGTCTCGGCTTTGATGGCGCTGATGGCCCCCGACTTCACCAACAGCTTCGCCTGCTCCGTGGCCATGGCCGTGTCCAGGGGGGGCTGATCCGATAGGGCTATGGGGTGGGATAGGGGTCAGAGACCCCTATGGGGACCCCCAAGTGTGGGGCACCCAAACCCCCCCCCTTCATTGATCCCCAAAATCCCCCCTTGGGAGCTCCCAAATCCACCCAGGGCACCCAATGGGACCCCCAAATAAACAGGTTTGGGGGTGTAGGGGGAAGCAGCCCCTTTAGCTCCCCATAGGGCCCCCAAATGAGCCCCAAATGAACCCAAATCCCCCCCCCCCCGCCCCATAGGCTTCCCCCCCCTCCTCACATCGCTTGATCCCCCCCTGCCCGCTGGGTCCGGCCGCATTCTGCTGCTTCTTCAGTGCCAACAGCGCCTTCTTCTGCAGGGAGGGGGGGAATGGGGGGGTCAGGGGCACCCCAGCACACAGAGACCCCACAGAGACCCCACAGAGACCCCACAGAGACCCCACAGAGACATAGGGATGCACAGAAAACCCCAAACCCCATAGAAACACCCCCACAGCCCCCCATTAAGTCCCTCAACTCCAATAGCCCTCTATAGACCCCTTATAACCCCCCAACAGCCCTCCACAGAACCCCATAACTCCCAATAAAACCCCATAGCCCCCCCCATAGGCCTCTATAGACCCCTTATAAACACCCCCATACGCCCCCAAAGCCCCTAATAAGACCCCATAAACCCCAATAAGACCCCACAGCCCCCAATAACCCCCACAGAGACCCCCATAACCCCCAATAAGAAACCATACCCCCCCAGCCCTCCACAGACCCCTTATAACACCCCCATAACCCCCAATAACCCCCCATAGCCCTCCATAAACCCTCCCATAGTCCCAACTAAAACTTCATATCCCCCCATAGCCCTCTATAGCCCCCCCATAGCCCCTAATAACCACCCATAGACCCCCATAACCCCTAATAACCCCCCATAGTCCTCCATAGACCCCCCATAGCCCCTAATAACCACCCATAGACCCCCATAACCCCCAAAACCCCTAAGAACCCCCACATAGCCCTCCATAGATTCCCATAGCCCCCCTTAGACCCCCATAACCCCCAATAAGACCCCATACCCCCCCATAGACCCCTCATAACCCCCCATTGCCTCTAATAACCCCTCATAGCCCCCCATAACCCCACTAAGACCCCATAGACCCCCCCATAGCCCCCACTAAGACCCCAAAAACCCCACCTATAGCCCCCCATAGACCCCCATAACCCCCACTAAGACCCCATAGACCCCCACATAG